CTCAACTAATAAACCCGATTTTGCTAAATTATCACCTTATGAATGTGGTATGGATACAATTGGTACAGCTAGAGAAAAATTTAATATTTTATTTTATTTAGTTGGTATCTTATTTTTAATTTTTGATGTTGAAATTTTATTTTTATTTCCTTTTGCTACTGTTTTAAATTCTATCTCTTTTTTTGGTTTTTGGATTGTTTTTTTATTTTTAATTATTTTAACTATAGGTTTTATTTATGAATTAAGTAAAGATATTTTAAATATTGGAAAAAGTGAGTCAGTCTAAGCCCTCCCTTCGTCTAAAAATAACCCCTTCACCTCAGCGTACTTAACTTTTAACCATGTATAGCTTGTGGGGTTTGCCTTCTAGATTATAAAATTAGTGATTATTAAATTAGTGCCACTCCCTCTGTTTAACGTTTGATATACTTTTTTCGTCGTAGTTTTAATGTTAACAGTTGCCCTATTTTATACTTACTACCTATAGATAAATATAAGATTAATACTTCAGATTTATAAAAATAGAGTTAAATGTACAAAAATTAGATGTCTTAACTATTAACTAATAAAAGATCTAGAGTCTCTTATTTAGTTTCTTTTTATTTTAGTTAACCTTTAAATTAATAACTTATATTTAAGTCTTTAGATTTATGATCTTATCTATACTATCTGACCTATTCCGACTACGATTATTATATTAAACTTTCTTTACGTCTCTTAGGGTTTATTTCTAATAATCGTAGTTGTTATAACTTCCTCCCTTTTAAAGTATTAAAGTGAATATTACATAATGCTACTGTTGAAAATTATATTATTACTTTACCTGTTTGGAAATTCCATTTTTACAATATCTTAAACCATATGACAACTTATTACTAGATTTTTTTTAAGGATATCCATGGTAAATAAAAAATGTTATAAAAAGTACTAGAAAGTACAGATATAATAGTTAATGTGATATATAAATTCTTAAAATTAATTTGAAAATAAACTGTTAAATTAATCTTTATAATTGCTGGCAGATTACCCTACGGATTACCCTTACCAAATTAGGATATAGTCTGACAATTTTTAGATCTTACAGGGGGAGATATTTTATTGGTGCCTAAAGGTTAAGATATTATGGTAAATAATCCCTGTTAAAATATATTTACCCGTATTGCTACAATCATATATTATACTGGTACCCTTATTCTATTTAAGGTTTATTATTTAAAAGATTCTGAAATAAAATGACTTAGATATTAAACTTTATAATTATAAAGAGTTAAAGATATTCATTATATCCTGAATTATATTGATTTAGTTATAAGGGGATACTATCCGTAAAGTTTTAACCTTTTAGTTATGGATACTAAATTAGGCTACCCTTAACATATAAAGAGGAGGACAATTGGATAGAAATAATATTGTTAAGTATATTGGAAATGTCATAGGATAACATTGTACATTGGAGCTA